TGCAATAGTACAATTTCAGAGATACTATTATGCTGAAAGCTGTGACACAAGATTGATCATTCAGAATTAAGGACAGATAAAGATTTCCTTGCATATATTTTGACAAGAATTGTTCTGAGTTATCTTGTCAGCACATGCTACAAGAGAATAATGAATGTGTAAACATATGATTCTTTTCTTCAAAGCAGATAAGTCAATTTTACAAATGAATTTTCAACTATGGGAATTTGGATTCTAGAAAAAATTATATAAGGCAGCAGCTGAACTTATATTTCCAAATATTCTACTGTACACACAGAAAAAAGCATGAAAGCAAGCAAAGGGCAGGTTTATTATTTCTTTAATTTTTCTTCCTTACTAGCTGCTCTCTATTGTTCAGCTCAGGCCTCAGAATGATTAAATAACATTTGGGGGAAAAGATGCAACCCAGCAACCCACCACCAGAGGCTAAGATGGAGAAGATCTCCACAGCTACCATATATTTTCCCTTGGTGCTCAGGTAGGAAGGAATAAAGGACAGCCAAACACTGCAGAAGACCAACATGCTGAAAGTGATAAACTTGGCTTCGTTGAAACTGTCTGGTAACTTCCTGGCAAGGAAAGCCACAGCAAAACTTACAATTGCCAGGCAGCTCATGTAGATGAGGACACAGTAAAACATTGTTACAGACCCCTCATTACATTCTAGTATAATTTCTTCTGTCATTGAATGCATGTCCACATCTGGGTATGGGGGAGAGGTTGCCAGCCACACAGTACATATCCCTGCTTGAACTATGGAGCAGAAAAGGAGAATGGAGTGGCCTAGTCCTTTCCCCCACCCATTTCCTCATCCTGGAATCTGGTTTTGAAGCCATGAAGGCCAAAACCACAGTGAAGGTTTTTGCCAGGACACAAGAAACAGCGGTTTGAGAAGATGATGCCAAAAGCTGTTTGTCGGAGGAGGCACGTCACCTTGTCAGGTCGGCCAATGAAGAGCAAAGCACAAAGGAAGCAGAGCAGGAGAGAGATGAGGAGAGCGTAGGTGAGGTTTTCGGTTGTTTGCAATGACAATGGGTGTGTCGTGGTGCTTCATAAATATACCTAGTACCAGGACAGTGATCAAGGAAAGGGAAAGAGAGAAACAGGCCAAACTGATGCCCAAGGTTCTTCATTAGGACATGAAACTTATATTCCTTGGGCAGACATGGCATCCCGGTATTGCTTGGATAATCTTTGTCTGGGCATTTGTTACAGTCATTCATATCTGGGGGGGAAAGAAATATAATTAGGTCATACATTTTGAATTTGGTGAAATGTTTACTTTCTGTCTGTGAAAGTAATGATAACTACAGAGTCTGGATCTATATTTAATCTATTTATTCTTCCTACATACTGGTTTTGCAATCTTTCCCTCTGGACATGGGATGCAATCGTAGCAGCAAGGTGGCTGTCCCTTCCTTCACTTTCTTGCTGGATCCTGGAAGACATCTCTTAGTACAGAGAGAAAGAGGCCGAGTCTATTCCGTAAATGAAAGAACAGAAGGATCAGCAAGAGAACAATGAGTTTGGAAATCTTCATGTTCCTGGGCCCCTCTCTATGTTACTAAGCTGAGTCAGCCTTTCAGCAATATGTAGAATGGCTATATATTTTTAGTAGCAGTAATGTTTGAAGTGATGTCATACTCCTTCTATTGTTCTGGGATGTGTGGGTTTTGTGATTACATAGCAGTTCCCCACTTTTTAGCAAGAAAGGCAAAATCTTGGGGCTTATCTATCCTCTTCAGTTAAAAATCAGTATTTTATAATTGTTAAGAAATATTTATAAAATATTTATAAATATAATATAATAAAATAAAATATTTGCCTTTATTCCTCGAGTGACTTCTAGCAGTAAGCTTTTGGCTCGTAATGTGGTACTTGGATGCTTTGGTCATATTCTACACAGTGACATGTAGTTTAAAAGACAATGAGTAGACATGCAGGTGAATATTCATTGCTTATGCAAGACTGAATCACCTTGGAATTATCTAATTTGGCCCCCCTTTATGGGCTAATAGCCGTAAATAAATAAATAAAAAATTGGCCCTACCTGATTAAACCAACCATTCCATGTTATCAATGATGAATGATTGGGAGAAGTCTGTGGATCTATCCTCCCAACACTCACTCTTTGCAAACTTTGGTTGGAGAATATAATCCAATTGACAATATTCAAGCTAGATACCACTTCACCATGCTGGTTGATGAAGACCACATCTCCAGCCGTATTGTTAAATGAGATACTTCTCAGAAAGTGATGGAGCTAGATTGAAAACAGAAAAAGCACGTTTGTAAAAGGCTGCAATTCTAATACATGGCTAAGGTATCTTTATCCTGTGGGCAGGACCTACAGCAAGTGGTGGGTGGTGATACAGTCAACTATGAGTGGAGTCAGGTCCAAGGATGGAGAGACCACCAATTTTCTCTCTCCCACATCTCTCTCCCTCCCTCTCCCCATTTTAACAACCTTTCTTTATCTCCCCCACCCCACACCTCTTTTCCTCTGTCCCTGTTCATCTCAGGAGACACCAGAGTGGTGTGTGATCACCTGATCTGAGGGAGGATTTGGTGTATATGGGATAGACAGAATGCTGAACATCTCTCTTGACCATTACCACTGCCTTTTATCTGTGAATGCAGTGGCATCCCAGTGGTCTCCATACTTCTCCCAGGGAAGTGATTTTCCTTGTCTGAGATGAATTGACACAAAACCCAACCTGTGGGGGAATAACAGGCCTCTTCCAAGGATTACCTGCCAAAACTGGATTCTGATTCTTCCCTCTCCCTCTGTATGCCATTTCTCTGTGCCTGAGTCTGGATGAGAACATCGCATGTAAAGCATGGGCCATGGCGTAGACAGCACTATGGATGCTGTAACTGTGGCCTGTCATGCTCATTTCAAAAAATGATCCAGGAAGGTTCTCCAGCTTCTCTTCTCCGGTGCAAATATTCCCCTCCACCTTGTCTGCAGTCATATCTGGGAATACACACCCAAAGGCCTGTTGCCAGAAGTCCCTGATAAAACCGTCCCCATCTGTGCTGGAAGGGTTTCTGTGCACAACATATTGATGAAATCCTGGTGGGTTTCTGAAGTGAATTTCAAAGGATATAGCACCATTGAATACTCCTGAATCCCAGTTCCTTTGAATGATTAATGAAGTGAACTCAACCTGGGCCGTTATTATCCATACTTTACTTTTTATATTGTATGTCATGTCATCATGTACTGATAGGTATGGAAGCCATCTTAAAATTGCCATGTAATAAGATTCTCCATAGGCAATTATGATATTAGCTGTGCTGCTAAAAATTTTATGAATCATACTTGCCCCCTGTTCTAATATGCCATTTATTTCAGAAATAAAACTTAACTGGGGATTCTTTCT